GCTAAAGGTCACATGTCACCCGTCGCCTCACTCCCACCATCCCCCATATCTGCAGCCTCTCTCCGTCTAACTCTCCCCCTGCAGCCCCATCAACCAACCACTCCCTTTTACAGCATCACTCACACACTCACACACACACACACACACACACTCACACACACACTCACACACACACTCACACACACCTTTCTCTCCCACCGCTGCAGCAGTTTATGTAACAAGGCGACGTGAGAACGGGCCGCGACCCCACCCTGCAGGGACGGACCACAAAGATGGAGGAACACAGAGACAGAGAGGAGACGAGGACCACTGTCCTACAGTGTGTGTGTGTGTGGGGGGGGGGGCGTGAAGCAGGGTGTGTGTGTGTGTGTTGTGTAAGGTTTTCTGTGCTAGTGCGTGCTGAGGGAGGGGGGACTTTTCTCCTCTGAATTCACATGAATTATTCAGCTCTGCAGACGAGTCTGTTCACTGAGGGAGGCTGAGCTGGGGGGGGGGGCCGGAGGGGGGCATCCCCAAATTTAACTTTACTGCAGAGCATCCGACTGTAAACACAGTCTACTGACAGTCAGAAACAGGCGGAGCATCAGACAGACACCAGTGGTCCACATGGTCCAGACCAGACCAGCTGTGGTCCTGGTATCTGACACTGAGAGGCTCCACTTCATAGGTTCTAATGTTCTAATGTTCTGCAGAACGACAACCTGACACACAGTAACAATAAAGTACCGCTGAAGCCCCCGCCCCACCTGGTGTCACAGCTGGAGGACCACAGAAGGAATCGGTACCAGAACCAAGAACCTGAGGTCAGATTTATCAGAGGACACGTTTATCTATGGGTCAGAAACAGAATTCATTCACTTCATACTGGACCAGGTGGACCAGGTGGACCAGGTGGACTTTATGATGATGCTGGTTACAGCTGGTCAACACCATGTCAAGAGGCTCAGAGTCACAAAAGTTGGCATTGGCCGTTGTGTGGACAGGAGGATTTCATCAGCTGCTGCAGTGTCAGGGCACACAGCCAGAGGGAGACAGACTCAGGCACAGACTCAGGCACAGACTCAGGCACAGACTCAACTAGGCTGCAATTCCTAAAACAAGAAAAGGTTTTTTTCATGGATAAAAACACACTGCTGTAGGAGTACTGTGGTATGAAGTATTGAAGTACTGCTGAAGTACTACAGTTAATAAATATTGTAAACACACTAGAACCTTCAGGTTTTACCAGTTACCAGGGATCAACACAGCTGCATTCTTCCACTGGACACTGTGTGGCGCTGTCTCCCTCTCTGCTTATTTTACCCATGTTTATATCAATCATATTTTTCTTAGTTTTCTTAATTTTTATATGATCATTATATTTGTTTCTTTCTGTGTCTTTGATGTTAATTTAATTCTCTAACACGTCGGCGTCTGAGGAGACGACGACACCGGTTCCGTTTGATCAACGGCGTCCGCCGACGGACCACAGCGGACACAGACCTGAGGACCTACCTGCAGCTCACACCAGGCCACCTCCACCCAGGTCTCCGTGTCCAGGCCCTTGTAGACCGTCTTGAAGGAGCCTCTCCCCAGTTCAATGTCAAACTTGAGGAAGCGTCCTCCTGGAGACGTGGACACCGCCTTCATCTCCGCCTCCTCCTCGTTTTCTTCGCTGGCCGCCTTGATGTTGGACTGAGCACAACCGCTGCAGGGGGCGTCGAACCCATCACCACGTGTGTCCTTCTGGTCAGTACTGGAGCCGTCTGTCACACTGTCTTTGGGTTGACTTGGACCAGGAGAGCTGGGCCCCTCCAGGCCGTCACAGCTGGTGGTCCTGGTCCTGGTCCGGTCCACTAGTGTGGGCAGATGAACGTTGAGGTTCTGACCGGTGTACTCACAGTCCGCTGCTCCACACGTCTGTTCATCTTGGTCTGAAAACCACAGGCTTCTTCTGATAAAACGCTGGTTGACGTTCCTCTGGTAGTTGGAGGAGGGGTACACACTGGGGTCGCTGCCACCTCGGACCACTGGGTCCAGCGGACCCTCGGCCATGGTCAGCTCACGCTGAGAGTTGGGGACAGACTGGTGTTTGAGGTCCGGCTGAACCTCGGAGCTACAGTTCACCACGGGCTCCATCGCAGGAGAACAAAGTCCAAGGTCACTTTGGATTCAAGTCCTTGGTGCCAGCACCGGCCATTCTCTGGTACCGTCAGTGAGCGGAGGCTTCAAACACCGGACCAGGTGACACGGAGGTCAGACTTCACTCAGAGGACGACGCTGCGGGACACGGGACACAGGAACAGAATCAAACTGTAGCACATCACTGACATCAGCACAGACTGGACCGAGCAGGACGTCAGAGTCCGGACGTCAAAGACACCGTTCGCTGTCGTTGACGTCCGGACAAAAACTACAAGACGTGGACCGTTAGATTAGCCTTAACTGTAAACAAACACAACGTAAATGACTGACACCATTTGGTTGTAATTCTGCGTCTGTGACGTTTGTGTCTGTGTCTAATCTACAGTCAGGTGATAATCTGGTCTAATCCAGTCGTCGTGAAGTTTAACAGGAAATGAAGATTTCGTTTTTCATTTTTAATAATCTTGTTTTTTGTTTGTAAACAGCCTCTGTGGCCAGCAGGTGGTGCTGAGTAGTCATTTGAAACCCTAGTTCCATGTTCAAGTCTCCTGGTACAGCTGGAGTCTACACTGGTACAATAAGACCAGTCTGTAACGACGGTCAAACTCTCGTGTTTGACACCTCGTTACAGACATGTAGCCCACGGCGTGCTAGCTCATTAGCATCGTGACATTTCACACCAACATTTTTGCCTTTGCCTCCTACTAGCACAGGTGCACTACTGCCACCTAGTGGGCATATTTTTAACTGGCAAATACTAGGAACAAAAGAATGCTAACGTTAGCCAACAGTTAGCTTGTTTCTTTTTCCCACTGGTTTGTTTTTCACAGTAGCCGACACGTCAATCAGTTCTGGAACTTTTTATACCTTCTTTTGTTTCATGAGCTTCAACAGTTCTTTTGTGTCGTCAGTACTGCAGTATTATTTACACGAACATGTACTGAAGAACCTGAAGATACAAACAGAACACGGCTTTCATCTCAGGTTCAAAGGATAAAAGGGTTGAAGGCAACAACATTCAAATCAAAGCTGGGATCGAAAGATTTGACCATTTTATATATTTATTTATCTGATTTATTTTTGAGGTCAGACTCGTGCAGCTTCAGCTCTAAATAATTTTAAATCTATAAAAACCAGTCGGTCAAACTGGCTGCTCTGGTTTCTGACTTCATACATTAAACACTAAACTATACATTCAAGAACCAACCAACACAACTCACCCTCACACTAATATTTCTACGGTTGTGATGGGCCCCCACCCACAGGTGGACCCCCACCCACAGGTGGACCCCCACCCACAGGTGGACCCCCCCCCACAGGTGGACCCCCACCCACAGGTGGACCCCCCTCACCTCACCCCTCACCCTGCTCAGATCTAACACTGAAAAAGTGTAACGTTTACTACATCAACAACTGTACTCTGGTGACTGGGTGGTGGGTGTGTGTGTGTGTGTGGGTGGGTGTGGGTGGGGGGGGGGTTAGGGGGGGGGGGCAGACTTAATTGGCCCAGTGCACCAAATAGGCAGGAACCGCTACTGGCCACAAATGTGGCCACGGTCCACATTTTCTAAACCACGCAGTGAAACAGCAAAGTGCTGTAAAAAAAAACCAGAGAAAAACTGCGAGTGTTTCTGAGCAGGTCAACGTCGAGATAAATGTTTGATACACGATTACAGCTGTCAGAGAAACAACCAGGTTTCAAACAGGTAGAAGGGACTCACCCACTCTCCCACAGACGAACAGTCACCGACGACAGACTCCCGGTCAAACCCAGACCAGCAGACCAGGGTCCAGGTTCTGAGTCAGGTCCAGGGTTTGAAAAAACATGTCGCTAACGTAGAGAACGTGCCCACACTGAACGCTCACCTCCACTGAAACTAAAGCTCCATTTCCTGGGGCGAACAGCGTTTGAGCAGGAGAACCAGCAGCTTAGCATTAGCTAAACAGACAACAGCCCGGCGACCGCGGGGGAAATGACGGCTTCGTTTAATTTTATCTCCTCTCGAATCTTCGCATCCTCCTCTTCGGTGACCTGTCGGAAGATGCCGAGTGTCCCCGAACCTCCTCGCTGCTTCTTGTGTATAAACGTGTGGCGGTAAAAAAAAAACGACAGTGAATTCGAGTCCTTTCAGAGTTAATTCACAGAAAAATGAGGAAAAAAAACAGATTTTCGTGTCGACTCGGCCTCTGTCGTGGCTTCTCCTCCCAGTGTGAGGTGAACTCACCGGCGGGGAGGCAAATAATTGTGCCTCCCATTCAGCATGACGCGTTCCACGCCCCTGGTAACGTGTGTGGGATCTCTCTCTCTCTCTCTTTCTCTATGTCTCTCTATGTCTATGTCTCTCTCTCTCTATGTCTCTCTCTCTCTCTCTACCAAACACTATTCAGAGATGATGACATGATGTAATGTACGACTTCAACAGGGGGACCGCGACCCCGAAAATGTAGACAGAACTGCAGAGCGGTCACGAAAAAAAATTTTTACATAAATAAAAAATACAAAATATTTAAATAAAACAGATAATAAACTACACAATAATATGATGTGATTTTATTTGAAAAGTAACCCTGGTGAAGTACAGCGTTGGTGCCACACGGTGGCAGGTGTGGTGATGCTCTTGTTCGCCCTGTGGAGATGAGAGAGGAGTCGAACCACAGACGAAAATGTCACCATTAGATGGCAGTAAAACCAACTAAAGTATCACAACAGCCACTGTGTGTGTGTGTGTGTGTGAGTGTGTGTCTCACACTGTAGTTTCAGTTCAATGTTCCCTGGACTCTGAGGTTCAGCTGCATCAGGACCAATCACGTGGAGCTGCAGCCACGGTTTGTATTACAATCAATATTTACATCCGACATAAAAATAGAAACATCAAAGAGATCACACCATGAGGCAGCACTAGGGGACAGCAGAGAGGACGAGACCCAGGTGGGACCCAGGGCTGGGGTGGGACCCAGGGCTGGGGTGGGACCCGCGTGTTGGTCAGAGAGGAGGGGCTGAGGACAAGAAGGAAGAAATTAGACTGGTCCACTAGTCCAGTCCACTAATCTGGTCCACTAGTCCAGTCCACTAATCTGGTCCACTAGTCCAGTCCACTAGTCCAGTCCACTAATCTGGTCCACTAGTCTGCTCTACTAGTCCACTGCAGGGTAGTGTAACAGTGTCACAGTGTCACAGTGTAACAGTGTAACAGTGTAACAGTGTCACAGTGTAACAGTGTAACAGTGTGACAGTGTAACAGTGTAACAGTGTAACAGTGTGACAGTGTAACAGTGTGACAGTGTGACAGTGTAACAGTGTAACAGTGTGACAGTGTAACAGGACGGTCCGGCTCTGAAACAGTCTCAGTGAACAGCTGTAAAACTAAAGGCCCAACAGAGAAAGATTGAAAT